TTCCTGTCTTTTATGGTATTTACAGCAGGACACTGTGGTTATATTTGGTCCAAAAAGGGCATCGCGGAAAAAAATGTTGGGAACCGCTGATTTACTTTATTCATATTGCGTCTGAGTGTTATTTCTGAGTAGCTACTTTTCTCAAGCTTTTATATTATGTAAATTCTTTTTTCTATACTCATATGCTTATTGTAACTGTTATTATAGATTGTATGAATTCCAATAAATATTTAAATAAAAAACTTAATTAATAACTTTGTAAATAGTTTACATATTGCCCAGATAAGGTAAACATAGTCAATATAATTAGAGTATTATAATTCAGAGATAATGTGCTTAGATATATAGTTTTATATACATTATCCAAATAATTTGAAATTTAAATACAACTCTTAATATACAAATATTTGAATATTAATAAGAAATCATTTATTAAATAAATTAAATGACATAAATGTTTTTTATCAATAGCCAATAAACTTACCACAGTTGCAACTGTCTGACCAACTGAACCAGCGGCTACTAAGTAACCAAATGCACTTGAACGTTCAGTAATTGCTATATTGTTAGCAAAAATATGAAATATAGTTGGTAATCCTAAATTTGATTAAAAATGAATTCAAACATTTTGTATCATCTCATAAATAAGATTATTTAAAATTGATTTACCCAATCCTTCACCAAATCCAGATATTACTCTGCATAAAATCAATGCAAATGTATTATGAGATACCCATGGTGTTGCGACAGTTGATATAGACCATAAAAAAACAGACAGTAATAAAATTAATTTCCCACCAAATTTCTTAGCTGCACAAGCCCCAAAAACCTGAACAAATAAAAACAAAGATAAATTATATAATATATACTTCCTAAATAAATAATTCATCATTAATTTAATAATGACTATATTATGTATATTTTTAGTTACTTGACTGCTTAAATAGCCGAAAGCAAATGCTGATAATATCCACCCTTGCCAATGCATTGTCCATTTGAAATAATTAGTCATCGGTATTATTGTGATGGGCATAATAACACGATCAGCAGCATTTATAAAATTTGCAATAGAACAAAGCACCACAATATGAGTGTGACTCATTTTAGAAGACATGGCTTAAGTAATTATGTCWAAAAACAATTTAGGTTAATCGAAAGATRGAATGTATTGATATGTTTGAATGATACATTTTTTTTAATAAAACGTAGAATGCATTTCAGCTTTTTAAAAGCCACGTCTTCATATTTTTCAAACATAGTGAAGATTTATTATTTTTAATGACAACATTTAAATTTATAAATCATAGTTTTAAAACTATTGCCACGTAATATTAATATTAAATCGTACATTGAAATAATCGTGAACACTTTCTTGAGACAATGGTTTAAATAGATAAAAAAATTTACTTAACTTAAAGCATAATTATAACAAATAACATTATATTTTAATATAACACGGGCATAAACTTCGGTCTTCGATGATGAAAACTTATAYAAAATTGAAAATATAAACAAAAGAAAATTATAAATGATAAGTTTTATCAATATCTACTTATCAATCCAAATATTTATATTCCGGTCACGGTTATCATTATGACAAAATATAATAAATAATCATAAAATGCATCTATTCGCATTTATCCAAGTTGTATTCATTTTATTCTCCTAAATATCATTCTACTATAACTGTGTTTCACTCTTTCACTGTTATATAAAATCCCTATTTTTTTTTAGTGTTAATGGTAGAGTATTAAAATATAAAATTCTAATTGTGGATGATTTATTTAGTATGATACTCACACCGGTTTTTGACTTTTATCTTTTGAATTTGYTATGCTTAAAGCAATTTGTTCGTGAGAATATCTGAGAAACTTGTTGGAATCAGGATAGTGCGTATTTCATAATTTATGCCTGGTTTCAATACTTATCTCTTATAACCTACCGTTTACTTGAACAAAACTATTAAAACACGTTTAAGTAGGAAATCCTCTCACCTGATAAATTATTACTCTTATTCTTGTTGACATGACTACTAATGGTCAGTCTGAGCATGCAGATTTTAGCAGTGACGATGAACAAGAAATAATGAAAAGAAATTGGAGAAAAAATATCTCTACAATTGAAAAGGTAGTTTTTAATATAAATCACTTTGTGTTAAATTATTTGCTAACAAATCTGATTTTATAGATAGCATTTAGGGAAGGAGCTACTTCTACAGAAATCAAATCTGATGTGATGTTCCAAATGGGATTCGATAATGGGTATAAAGATGGTTTCAAAGATGGTTATAAAAGTGGGTCCTACAAGAGTACTTTAATGTAAGTAGAATTTTTAGTTTTCTAATTACAAAATTTAGACAATTTACTAATTCGCTTATAATTATAAAGGCCGTTCTCACAATGTCTGATCAATGTTAATGGACACTTAACCGGCGGAATTCTGCCAGTAAAATCCCACTAACCATCAGTTAACCATTAACATGACACTTAACTGGACATTGTAAAAACTGGCCTAAGTGTCTTAGTATTTATGCTACATAAAACATTATTTGTTTTCATACCTTTTTAAATTTAACATTTTTATTTCAAGGTTATTAAATAAATTTAATTTTTCTGAAGACGGTGAAGAAAAATGAAATATCTAAATTATTGTTAACTATATCAAAATCAAATATTCAATAACTCCATAAGAACAAACTGGATTATGTCGATGATTGATATAATGATAATGAATCATAAGTCAATCAAGATACTGTAGTCATTGTCATTGAAAGAAATTGCTAAATTTAAAATGGTAAAAAATGTATGTATATATGTTTCTTTCTTAATACTCCAATAAAGACATTCAAATGTGAAATTAAGATTTATTTATTTTATAGTCATTTTTATTCATAACAGTTAAAGTACAAAATTAATTAATTAAATATGTTAGTTTTATACATAATATATAAGAATAAACTKAAATGTCTTATTATCTAAATCTTTAAATTATTTATGAAAAAACAATTCCACCTATAACTGATCTTATTTCTTAGAAAATGAAATTATTATCAAAGATAATATTATGATGATATTGAGAATATTTAAATAATCCATAATAATACATGTTATCCAATACTATAAAGTTGAATAAATGAGTAATCCAACAAAATTATTTATATTTAAATAATCATGGGCGAATACTCTCAACAACTACAGTCTAAATTGGTATTTGGTATCCTTAGTTTTAATCAGTCATAAGTAAGTTAAAAAAATATTATTTAATCAATAATTTACTATAAAATCAATAAATATTTAAAATATTTATTTGTTTAGACTTACCATACTAGGTTTGGGATTCATTAGTTAAATTAAAACAACAGTTTTTAAATAAATAATTTAAAATATAATTGATAAAAAATTAATTTTTTATGTTATTATTGAACTTGAAAAAATGTATAAGACCAAATATAGTTTATGTACATATTAACTTTAAGAACATAATTAATCACTATCATCGTTAGGAGGGTTTAATGGCTTGTGGCTCTCTTCGTCTGAACCGTATGGCATATCTTCTTCAGAGTCATTGACCATTGAGAATGCAGGATTATCTTTTGTTACCGAAGACTCTAAAAATAATTAAATAGAATAAAAATGACTAATTAGTTTTTAATATATTAAATATTTATTTACTATTTAATACAAGATTTACCAAATCCTGGTTTTTTTGTTGGGGAATAAACTGCAGCCAAAGTAAATACATAGAAATTACAAATACCATAAAAGGTCATAAATAATGCTGACGTCATGTATTCTGTGTTCAAGTCTGCAGCAAATGAGTCTTCTATCAATCCAAGCCCATATTGCATATGTGTTATGGTTGAACATATTATAAGTGATATGACCATTGAAATAGTTACAAATTTCAGTCTAGCATCTATGAAAATAATACTTTGTTAATTTATCTTTATTGTACTCTAATTTTCAAGTTRTTTTAATACTGACCAAAATATGGCATTGAACGCAAATCACTGTATGCTCTCAAAATCAAGCATACTAGATACACTATGTATATAACTGCAAAAATGCCTACACATGACTTGATATTCTATAACATATAAAACACATTTTTACATTGCCTTAATTTCCAATAGTAAAATTATTTTATAATTCTTACAGTGTATGCGCTAGAATCAATCTCGTAACTGAATGCTGGGTCATCAAATTCATTCATTCGACGATATTTGGCCATTATTACCCCACATAACCAAAATGGACCCACTAGAATTGCTTTTGGGAGATAAAATGCAATCGGTTTTCTTTCATTCTGTAAAAATAGTTCAGCAATTATAATATTTATTGATATATTATTATTCACTAATTTGTCATACTTGACGTAGTCCGTGATAAATGCAAAGCCAAAAGAATAAAATAGCACAGATAAATGTTACTTGGAAGATACCATCTAACATTCCAATTAGTTGGTTACTTGTGAGAAGTGTCAATGGAAAAATTGGATCTAAAAACAAATAAAATTACTATAAATTCTACATATTATTGTATAATATATATACACACATATATATCATAGAAATTGTTTTTAATTCTACATACCATTAAATAATATTAACAGTGGCAATAAGACAACAGTCCATTTTTGTTCATATGACCAATCCACCATTGGAAATTTCCTTAGCGAATTTGCAAAACAACACTAAAAACAAGTTATATATTTTATTAATTCTATAGGAAGTATTCATTAGATTATTATTAAAACTATACTTACAAGTACTCCAAAGGCGCTGAGTAAATAAATCAGTCTGAACCATATTTCCATTTGGGTGTATCCTGGGTTGTATGATTTGTACTGCAAAACAATWTATTATAACTTTATCATATTGTTACCAATTAAAATTCTGTCCAGCCAAGTTTATTAAAAATTTACAAAACTAAACACTACTCACATAAAACATGACTTCTTTTACTTGGTACTTTTGATGAAAAGTCTCAAGATTGTAAAAATCTACTTCAAACGTATAATGAGTATAGTGTATGTAGCCAATATGAGCAATAGGCACTTGACTACATATCTGTTGTTTACAAAGTAAATGTCTCGTCCTGTAAAATATTCAACATTGTGTTTTACTGATAAATGTATAGATATTTTCGTTAATGCTCTCCGTTACCTGTTGTTTTTAAAGACTTTTACAATATCAGTAGTTTTATGCTGCGGGGTGATTCCTTTGATGTCCATGCTGATCTTGAAACTTTTATCATAAGTCTCGTCTGTTAAAATTAAAACAATTTTAAAATAATTTATTAAATAACTAGGTACCATTGAAACTATTGTGGTTAAAAAAAATTTGAGAAAGTTGAATTATTTTTTCAAAATTAGTTATGTACCTTTAATCTGTATTTGAAAATAACTGAAGTAGATAGTAAATAAATGTTGGTATTTGAAATATACGGATGCATTTAAAAAATGAATAAACATTTAATGTTGAAATTACAATGGCTACCTATATTCTACCTTTTTTAACCTATATTCTTAAACTATTGAGTTAATAATATAAAACTGCAGGTTAGAATTTGTTGACCTTAAACTGAGTGAACTTTGGTTGTTATTAACCTTCAGAGTTCAGACAAAATGTAGGAAAAATTATTTCTCAGCAACTTATGCATAGGTACTATGTGAAGGGAATAAATAAAAAGTAATTCTTAYTCCTCATATAATACAACTTGCGTATTACATTGAGATGCAATACATCAGCACCCTATTACGCTGTTTGCACAAGTTTTTCCAAATAAAATTTATCAAATTTTAGGACTTTCRTAGTTTTATAATAGGTATGCAATTGGTGCCTAATACTTACCGTCTTTGTTGTCCGTCAGCACGACTGCGATTAACCACAGCCGTTGGTTATACACCGACAGACTAGGAGTTTTCATGACGAACGGCCCCTGTGGCAAAGATCCGTTCGTGTGCTTCAATATTTCAACTCCGCTTATCTTACTCGTCAGTGTGATCGGAGGTCCTGTAACAAATTTTTGTTTTCCCATAAAATTCTCAAACAATTCAAGTAWAATTATTTTAGTTGATTCGCGAGGTTCGTTGGCTGTGTAGTAAAACACGTAGTATTGTAGCAGATTTACGTAWGGAATTCAAATATGAATAATTTGATATTAAATTTATATTTGAGTATCTATCTTAAGAGTTTTTTCCATTTTAATGACTTTTCATGAAATTGATTCTCAAAAATTGTTCAAATAAAAAAATCTGCCAAATATAGGTCAAGTTACCCATACCTATAACATTTTTGATTTGATCTTACTCGCGAGAACATTTAATAATATTAATTTATGAAAATGAAACTAAGCATTTTGTGTACAATTTAATTAAATACTATATTATTATTTATGTAAAAAAAAAAATTATTTTCTCAAAACGGAAAATGCACATTTAAATTCAAAATGTATAGAGGTATTAAACCTATACTTATTAAATTATAATGTATTATATTATTTTAACATTAAACGCGTATTTTAATATTTGCTACCTGTTGAGTCCTGAACTCGAACTATTATAATAGGCAGGTATATAAAATTTAATTATACATAAAATATGAGGCGTCTAACCCGTCAATCCGATGAATAATACCAGTCCCATGGCCGTCAACAGGACGATGAAGACCATTACGAATTCCCGTTTGTTCATCGAATACAACCGCATGTGCACCGATCTGAAAACGTAAAAATATATGATAATAATAATAAATATTATGGTTTATATTATTATGTTAATTACATGCATTAGTGTAATATTATATGTGCATAAAATATAAATACATTATATTATAAATATAGGTAATTATTTATAACGTATATCCGTATATGTATCGCGATTTTTAAATTACCGTTCGCATCGGTCGTGGTGGTAGGCCGGAGAGATGTATCGATTGAAATCACTGAACAGGTCGTTGAATTGAGATACTATATTTCTGACCATTGTCGAGCAACTGCCCATCGGCAAGTTGTAGCTAGTCTCTGAGCTTTCCATCGAATTCATTTCTTAACCGCCTAGCCTGTTGTATGTTTATACCAGCTATTATTAAAACAATAATAATAATATATTAAATAATGGCTATGAATTTAATGCACCATGCAAAAATCTTAACGCATTTAAAATCTATTAAAATGCAGTTTAAGGTAAAAAAAATGCTAAAAAATTAAATTCGTTGTTAAACATCATTCATTGATTTTTATAAAAAAAACTACGTTTTAAAATACTCTAAAAACAAAATATACCTTGCTACAAATTCAAAGCCTTAATTAATAATAATAATTAACAATATGTATATATTGTATATTAAAGATCATAGATGATAGATTGAAATTCTGATATAGCTAGATAACCAGCTAGTACATAGTACTTACCAGCTATGCCTTTACTGTGTACATCACTACGGTATAGTTAAGTCATTATAAATGAAACGTTGTTTTGGAATGTGATTTGTGATTRATTATATTACAGAACGAACACATACAAGTTCTAAGCACATAAAATAAATTATAGTTATAATAAAATAGCTATACCCGGTGGTGGTTCCGAGTGGATTTTCGATTTCAACGATACCTAAACGCGCACCATAACTATCGTTAGATAAATTTTACTGATCGACACTGCCATATATCTTGATTCCACGGGTATTTTTACATGTTTGCTCCAATCATAACGTCGGCCATATTACAACATGCGTCCGGATTTCGTGCGTAAATAGGTACACTCTTCCGCAAAAAGTTCTATAGTGTGTGTGTGCCAACAGCTGTTATTGATCCAACCCTCCGTTTACAACCGTTCCCCTGTCCGCTGCACGACATCGTCCCCGACGTCGAGAAAGCTATGCTATTGTAGAATAAAAATGTRCGCRCAGAAAAATGTATAAATACCTATATTACATTAAAACGTAGGTATATATAGTTATAAGTATCTGTGTAAAAGTACCTATTCTATGATGTGAATATGTGACCGATCCCGGATAAAACAAAAATATATTTTTTTACGAGCATAATTATAARATACTATAATACATGTCTAATATACATTATAAATAAATATAATTCTATTTCTTAGATTAGAATAATAATCACAGATATTAGAGAAACTAGCGATCTATATACCCTCTCACCCTACTAAAATTAACTTAAAAAAATAATTCTTTGATATAGGTATGATATGAAAAATCATATCATTTAACGATATTATTTTCTTATTTTAATTTTGTAACTAACTTTGGTAACCATTTGAATTCTGTAAATKTATAGTCTCGTAATCTATATTTTTAAGTTTCACTATAAGCTACAGCACCTATCTACTTAAATTTGCAAAACTTGTGGCCTGTAAGTTGCGAAAAATTAGCATCCACACCTATAAAGTCTTAAATAGTAGATTCTTAAGTAGATTTGGCAAATTCATGTTATACATTATATGATTTTTGTGAGTGTCGGATGTCGAAAATAGGTGTACAGCGCAATTTATAACCGTATAGTTGTGGGCTAATGGGCTACACAGACTAAAAGTAAAAGAGCAAAGGGTATATTATAAGATAAATAGAGCGATTGCAATATAGTTTTTAATAGAAACGTTAAATTGGTTTTTGCTAGCGGATTGATGACTAGTACGTATATGATGTAAATTTCGAACAGTATTTAGTTATACTATATATTACTCAAAAAATATAGTTTAGGCACCGTTGTTCAAATCTATACTACGCAGAATGGCATAGTAAAGTTGTACACTTGTACCTATACACATGTGTATATTATAATATTATTATATATATATTGTAAATTTGTAAAAGTATAATCATGATTATATTTGGGTTATAGGTGAACCCTGCTGTATCAATATAAATGAATTGTACAACGTGGTATTTCACATATAAACATTTCTTCATTAAGTATTCTTGTTTTTATAAGAAACACAATTAAAATGCTTTGAAATGTTATTCGGCAATGATAATTAGCAATGACTATAATTTTATAGGGGAAATAAAAATATTTTAAATTGCATATGATTAGACAATATGATTGTTTCAAAAAAACAAAAGATTAAGAATAAAAAATGTACACTGATTTTATTTCAGAAATAAAGTAAAAGTTTTATTTGACTTATTACGATTTCTTGGTGAAATAATTCATAATATGATAATTTATAAATATATTTTTTATTGTTGTTACGATGTTTCTAAATTTGAAAATCTCATTTTGCAAAGAGTATAAAATAAATATTTATTTGTGGACTGTGTAGTTATAACTTATATAAGTACTTCATAAATTTGTAATAGTCTATACATTATCGGCCAACGACTTAAAAGCATTTAAATACCTGTTACCTACTCAAACAGTCAAAAAATTTAAAATATGTTCAAATATTGAATGAAATATAATATATTTACTAATTACCTCGGACCTAGGTACTCAAATATACTGAGTAGGTACTGATGTTACTGGTGTAACAGGTGTCTCTTACCTTTGAATAATATAAATATAAAAATAAAATTTATACGGTACATTATATAAGTGAAGCTATATTGTTTTACTAAAATATAACAGCATTTTACCGACATCAACTGTCACGCCRTTCAAGTGCGTATTTTTTAAATTATTAAATTATTTAAATAAAATGCATTGTTCCATTATACTCTCTATACATGAACTAAGAACAGATTATACGTATTGTTTTAACCACGTAATAACCTCGTTTGTAATTTTGTGATAAAGCACAGATCGGCCATCTTCATATCCAAACTCGGCAAAACTCATCAGATAATTATCACACACAACTGTAGCAGATATGCAATTTTTCTAAAAAAAAAAATGACAATTCTTTAAAATATTATGAAACATTTAGCATCTAACCGATATTCTATGGCGTTTGCAGTAATTTTTTTGGGGTGATATAGACGAAACATGAACAAAAGAGTTATACACACTATGTGCAATGTGAATAAGTATTATAGGTATTGAYCTACATTTTATACATTTAGGATGTATGATGTACGTTTAAATATTTTGCATTGCATTTATTACGAAACAGTTCTACATGGCTAATAGCTATATTTATACATTATTATATACTTATACCTACTATAGGAACAAGTTGATTTCCCCTATTTTTCCCTCTATTTTTTCTTTAGTGACAAAATTTTTTAAAGTACTTAAATGTGTGTATGCAATTTGAGGAATATCCTGTCTGTTGTACAGCGGTGCACTAATCCCCCTTCCAAGTTCTGGTCTAAGTATGTTACTGGTATTGTTGTAACACACACTTTTTTTTTTACACAAGAAACACTTTTTTACTCAAATTATTAAGGAATAAACTATAAATAAATRGCTTTTGAAAATTTTGACGTATATTCAAATCGAAATACGAACCCTGTGTATTCGTATGTTGGAGAACACGCGTATATRCGCCACTTAAGCGAGGATTAAAAATTCTTTATTTGCTGTCAACACCCTAGCTATTTGCTATTTTATGTCTCAAGCAACTTTAAAGATTTTGAGTCAACCAATAGCAAAACATCTCAGTTAAATATAACAAATAGGTAGTAGGTATAATGTATACAGCAATATAAGATGAGCAAATAAAATCGTAAACCTGTCAAAACCGTCAACACTTCTATTTTATCTGTACCTATATTGTAAAATTTATAATACGGGATGAATATAAAACACGCCCAATATATTATACACTTAAACAATCACCTTGTGGTTTAAAAAGGGTTTATTTTGCAAAATTGTTGTTATAATTATTTATTTTAATTTCTATATCTATATGTTACCATTGTTATTTATATTTACTATTTACATAACTAATATCATTATTGGGCTTTTGGWTATTATTTCTACACCACGCCACAAACCTTTAAGTATAAGGTATATATGTAGGTACCTAATACTAGTAATAATACCTTATACTCATACGGCCATACTATATATCGGTTGGACAATAAGTTGCAATAGTTGTTTTTATAATTTCGTAATTACAAAACAAACAAAAAATAGGTATAATTTATAATATATATTATGAATATATAATTACAAACCAGTATTTTTTTATTAATCGAACACATCGTGGAGTTGGAATAATGGCAATACACATACGGACACGGAATCTGGTTCATTAATAAGTACTCGTGAAAAAAATTGCCTCCATACGTCGAATGTCTAGCTAAAAACCAATACGAACACTCGCAGTTTTCGTCCACCGGTTCAACCGCGTTGTATCTTAACTGTTGATAGTCGATGAATGATGTACGGCGAAACTCAGGTATTACCTATACCGGCACAACAACAATAACAATAAAAACAACAAAATCTAATCACCTGGGTACATTCAGTGTTAAATCCTACCACCCTGATATATTTTTACCTTAAGTAGATATATAACATATAAAAACTAATAAAATAAAATAAAATATTTTGATATACCTGCATGCATATACGTTCTGTATAATATATATATATTAAGTATAACCCGTCCCATCGAGAATATTTGTGTACGTCATCACTGCACCCCTTCTGCACCGCCCGGAAAAATACGAATTAAAATTTAAAATAAACGGACATTCCTCATCTGCACATGTTGGGTTAGGCCATAGTTTCGGATAGGAGTATAGGACTGCAGAACATGCGCTGCAGGGACCAGTATAATATTATTAACTACTGACATAATATATATTATATACATATAAATGTACTATAGTAATGACAGGACACGTGTATATATCATTATCATATCGTTTCGCTTCATTCAACTCAGCACAGTCCTGATGCAGCAACGTTGTTATGTCATTTTTATAAAATTGAAAACAATATTATTTTATAACTTATAACATTACAATAGAGGATACTATAGAATAGTAGGTACATTATGTTCCGGTGAAAAACGCTATTGAGAAAATACACGATTATATTATTTTATTAGTGTCGAGAAAAGGTTTAAAAAAAAAAAATTAAATACCTATAGAATTAGCGGAGATATAAATAATTATTAGGTACCTATGTAATATATACATATATAACTATTATAACGTTGAAACGTATTGAGCTATATAAGACAATCAGGGGCGTAATTTCAGGTTTTTTTTCGGATGTGCGAAATTTGAAGCAGGCCATTTTGAAATTTCACCAGGCCATATAAAAATTAGATATACATACATATATGATATATTATCCTGCATTCAATTTTTTAGATATAGAACGGTTATTACAATTTGATTTTAATCATATAAATAATTGTGCATTCGTGGCTCGTGCATTATTTTAGACTTCAGCACAGCGCAGGCCAATTATAACATTCTAAATGTAAGGGATGCAACCGCACACCCTGCCACCCCCCAAATGACGCCCCTAAAGACAATACCTAATATCTGAAGTTATAGTATCTGTAAAATAAAATAAAAATATRCATATTAAATACATTCATGTATAAATACACTATATTATGGTCCCTAGTCTCAATGGGTAAAGTTATTTTAATCATACCATATAAATATAAAACTATAAAGGCTTCTATGTGCATGTCTTCCTCT